GGGGGGGGGGAATAGCCTGGGCAGGGAATAACTCTCCAGGTAGAAAAAAATCAGTGGGGATAATTAGCAGGTGGCAAGTAGCTACCGTAATAGTGCTATATTCGATTTTGAGTCTACTAAATTTAAAAATCTTCCCAGGCTTTTGCAGATATAGCCAGAATTAACTTCATATTTGGAGTTTTTTTGATAGCAGATTATTATTTTTTTTTAGATTTCAGTGATCTAACCCAACTCAAAGACAAGCTTGCGTACAAAAAAAACATGCACATTCATCTGCTATACACAATTAAAAATCAAAATTTAAAAGTAGACAGACATTTTGAAAACAAGAACCAAAAAAAACAAAAAAAAAAACACAATTTCTCCCATATTACAGAAACTTCTTTAGTTGAAACTAATACAGAAGCAAATTATTTTCTATTTAAAATATTTTTTAAAATAAATTAAGAAACATTAGAACATTCAAGATTAAATACCGGTATATTAAAAATAACAAGCTTCTGTTCTTTTGACTTTTGCTAGTTTTTAGAAATTTCGTTGTCTTTATTTATAATGAGAAACTTATTTAACAAAATATTTAATTTAATTTGTTTTTATTTTTGGATAGCTTCATGGATAATCAACATTGTGACAATGAACGCGCAAGACCACGGCCAAAGCTTTTGGTGAATTGAATCTCAAACGCGATAACAAAAGCTCTCTAATGACTCAAGTTACTGCATGATTGTTTTATAATTTTAATAAAACTAATTTCTTCTTTTTATATGTCTAGAAATTATGAGTTTAGACACCAAAATCATATCTGTAGCTTATTTAGTTTCAATTTTATGCACATTTTAGATAAATTTGGCGGCCATTTTGAAAAATGGCCGCTATTTGTATACAAGGAGTAAAATCAAGTGTCAACAGGGCTTAGGGTGACCAGAAGGGATTAATTATGATATCTGGCTATGTGGATTGCTTCTAACATTCCGCTCCCCCTAACTCATTTTTTTTCAGATTTTTTTTCTAGTCTAATTAGTATATTGGTTATTTAGCCTTTTATTTATAATTTAACACCATATCTTAAACTCTCCAAAAGTGTTCTAAGCGGTTCTTGAAAGTGTTCACAGATGGAGCAGAGATGATATGTTCTGGAATTTTCTGCATAGCAAACCTTAATTAGTTTAAAGTTTAAAAAAATTTAAACAAAGACTATGATCTCTGTTGCACATTCCTTTGAAAATCACTTAACTTAACGTCAACATTATAATTTTAGCCTAATGCGTAACCTAGTCTCAGGTCTTGAAATTCAGGAACCAGCGCGTCTCTGAACTTTCTCAAAAGCATCATCTTTTTGTAAATATGGGTTCCAAACTTGGACGCAATTCTCCAAATGTGGCCTTACGTACTACAGTATCTGTGCATACTGAAACTGGATCTGTCAACCAGCGTGACCACTCACAATTTTTGATATACCCAATGACTGGGTCGAAATTACCCAAGATTCAGCAAAAATTGCCCAAAATTACCCAA